AATTGCTAGATTTTAGCAGAATGTAGCAATTGCAGGTATCATCGTTTGTAGAAGAATTTGTGGAGGGAAAACAGATCATGACTTAGGAAAGGATGGAAATTAGCAACAGAATTCTTTGATGCAGCTTGTGGAATGACAGTCCTGGTACTAATAAAAATCAACATGTTGAACTAATATACCCTAGGAAAGTACCTCCTACCCTTTTCCCAGTCATGGCACACATAATAAAGTTCAGTAATAGCTAAGGTCTGAAAGGAAGGTTTGATTCTGAGATCTGATACCTCCCAGATCTCATGATATTAAAAAGTATATTGGGGCACCTGGGTGGCTCAGTGGGTTAAAGCCTCTGCCTTCAGCTCAGGTCATGATCCCAGGGTCCTGTGATCGAGCCCCACATCGGGCTCTCTGCTCGGCAGGGAGCCTGCTTCCTCCTCTGTCTCTCTCTGCCTGCCTCTCTGTCTACTTGTGATCTCTGTCAAATAAATAAATAAAATCTTTAAAAAAAAAAAAGTATATTGAGAGATAACAGTGAACCTGGGATCTAACTAAATGGTGATAATGATATCATAAGAGGCTGGTGTTTTGCAGAGAAACCAGACAAAGGGAGGGCTTTGTTTTGTTTGCCCAGTGTTGTATAAAGAGGAGTGGCTTTCGGTGGACATGAGTGTTCTGCTCCCTAGGAGGAAGCCAATGTAGCAGGAAAGAAGCAGACACCACTCTTAGGAAGCCCCTGGGAACACTTTAAAACATATGTCTTAAAAAACAGAACAGGGTCATGCCTGGGTGGCTCAGTCAGTTAAGCATCTGCCTTCAGCTTGGGTCATGAAACCAGGTTCCTGGGATCGAGCCTCACATCAGGCTCCCTGCTCAGCAGGGAGTCTGCTTCTCCCTCTCCCTTTTGCCACTCCCCCCCCCCCGCTTGTGCTCTCTCTCTGTCAAATAAATAAATAAAATCGTCAAAAACAAAACAAAAAAAAACAGGCGCCTGAGTGGCTCAGATAGTTAAGTGTCTGACTCTTGATTTTGGCTCAGGTCATGATTTCAGGGTTGTTAGACTGAGCCCTGTATTGGGCTCCACATTCAGTGGGGAGTCAGCTTGAGATTCTCTCTCTCCCTCTCCCTCTGCTCCTCCCCCCTTCAAATAAATAGATAAATAAATCTTAAAAAAAAAACACAACAACAGTCAAAACTCAAGCAGGAAGAAAAAACTTCTGCTTAGGTATTATAGCACTAAAAAACGTTATGCCGCGTGTGGTTTTAATATGAATATATAACTTTGAATTATCTTTTAAAATTATTCCATATTTGTGGCTGGTGCCTGGCACAGCTGAGTTCCTTTGGAACAGCTTAAGAAATACTGCCCTATGGCAAATGACCCAGGCTCTCTGAGCTCTTAGGACCTGCCACCATCATTTACTGTCATTCTTTGCTGAAACCGGCTTCTGATTACTAAACCGGCTTTCCAGAAGCTTTTGAATGGGCAATGGGGAGCAGGGTAGGAGTATTGCCCTGGTGTAATTGTTCCAGTAATTAGAACTGTGTATTTCCCATTACATCAAATTTGTTGGCATTCCGGGTTTTGTGTGTTTAAAAGGTGGGAGTTGGTTTCTCAGAGTCCTGACTGCCCTTAGATGAACTAATAGTGTCTGATCTCAGAGGTGAAGCTGGCACTCCCTAACCCTCAGGGCCCTTCTTTTTCGATCTGCAGTAGTTTCTTAGATTGTTTTTAACTTTTAAAAAATGTAATTCTAACAGTCATTCAATCTCAGCAATCTCAATTGCCTTAATCTTTCCCTATTAATTAAAATAACATTTTAGGGGCGCCTGGGTGGCTCATTCTTTAAGCGTCTGCCTTCGGCTTGGGTCATGATCCCAGGGTGCTGGGGTCAAGCCCCACATCGGGCTCCCTGCTCAGTGGGAAGCCTGCTTCTCCCTCTCCCGCTCCTCCTGCTTGTTCCCTCTCTCGCTGTCTCTCTCTCTGTGTCAAATAAATAAAATCTTTAAAAAAACCCAACTTTTTGGCTGGTAGGCAGGGACCATGTTTTAGTTTTAATCGGCAACCTACAATCTAAATTTTGCCTATCTGTGCCAAATATTTTAAAGTAGGGGCTACTCAGATCAGGCAGGCATCTGATAATATATAAACTCAACCAAATTGTAATTCTTGTCAGTCTGTTAGGTTCTTCATGACAAGCCTGTAGGCTTTTATTCGGTAGTCTGGTATGTGGTTTTAGAACCCATATATTTTTTTTTAAAACCACCTCTGTTGATTTTGATCAGATTGCTCTGGATAGCAGCCTCAAATAGAAGTGTGCGTTCTTGAGGCATACTTATAAATGTAGATTCCTAGGTCCCAACGCCAGAGAGTCAGATCCTGTTAAGAAACCAGAATTAAGACCCAAGAAGCAATCAAAACACTTAAAGGCTATAAACATATCATAAGCAGTTAATAGATACTGTTTGATTCAATTGCCCGGTGTGGTGGGAATTCCATGTGTGCTAGAGACATTCTAAACTTCATGGAAGAGGTGGGGCCTTAGGCTTGGTAGGGGGAAGGGATTTAGACACAGGCCAGGAAGAGCAGGGGAAGGCATTTATGCACTGAAGTGTGGGAAGAGCAGAGGCGGGCGGATGTGCAGAGGCACACATGGGCCGGGTGGAGGTGGAACTGAGAGATGAGCATGACTGTACAGAACACAGAGATTCGTGTTTGTTCTTACCCTGTGTTGTTCAGACAGGAGCTGGAGTGCTGTGTAATCAATGGCACCTTATGGATGTGTGGGCTCCTCTGAGACATCCCTTCATTCCTGATCAGTAGCCATGAGTGGCTGATAGAATTGACTTGAAGGGTGCCTTCCTTCCTCCTTTTGGTTCCATTTGGGTTCCTCCTCAGGGTAGAACTTGGCTTGAGAAGATCATCTCTCATAGAAGGGATTGAACTCCAAACATACTCTTGTCATTTTTTTGATTTTTAACAAATATCAGTATCAGAGGGAACTGAAATAGTAGTGTATTAAGTGTTTTATTCAGTCAGGTCATTGTGCTGGGCTCTGGTTCCACCCTGTGTGGCCTAGAGGAGCCCCCGTTCTACCTGGAGAAAGAGAATTACAATTGCAGTGATGAGTTGTTACCCAGGAAGCCAGATTAAGTATAAAGGATGATCAGCTGATCCAGCTCAGAGGCATCGGGTTCTGGAAAAGCTTTATACAGGAAGCACATCTGAGCAGAATCTTGGAGATTGAGTAGGAGTTAACCAGGTGAGGAGAGGAGGTGCTCCAGGAAATGAGAATGCATTGGCAAAATCACATCTGTGGGAAAGAACAAAGCATGATCGGAGTTGTAAAGAGTTTGGTCAGCAAGAGCTCAGGGTGCCTGGAAGAAGCTGAGGCCAGGAAGGTACACGCAGGGGGCAGATCTTGCTGTGTCTCGCAGACCATGCTAAAGGGCTGGATTTTTGTGAAGGCAATAGGGAACTGTCAGAGGGTTTTAAGCAGTGTTATTTTATGTTCACTGTGGCTGGAGTATGAATGACAGATTAAAGAGGGCAAAGCCAGAGTCAGGCAAGAGATGCTTGGAGGTGAGAATGGAGAGAAAAGGACAGATGGGGAAAATTTAGAAGGCAGGTGCAAAAGGACTTGGTGGCTACTTGACATTTGGCAGAGGAGGGAGAAGTTCTGACAGGGAGCGATGCTGCTGCCATCCCCTGAGGTCTGGGTATGGGACGATGTTCAGTCTGCTGGGGACGATGATGACTTCGTTCATGTAGGGAGCAGATTGACTCTGAGGTGTTTGTGGGACATCCAAGTGGAGGTGTCTAGAGAGCCCGTGGATAGTGATCTCGAGGCAGGAAAGTAATGGGCCAGACAATTGGTGTGAACGGGAAGAGATAATTTGTTGTACTAGGTTGGTTTCATCTCCAAAATATTTCTCAAAGCAACCACTACTTTCCACCTCCTCTGCAATCCCTTGGTTCAGGCTGCTATTATCTTTTAATTGGTTTGCCTACTTCTGTGTCAGTCTATTCTTACACAGATGGCAGAGTGATCTTTTAAAAACGAGATGAAATCTTATCATTTCCCTGCTTAACATCCATTGCCACTGACTTCCCATTGCCCTTAGAATAGATTCAAACTTCTTACCATGCTGTGAGGTCGTGCCCGATCTGGCGTGGCCTTCCTCCCTACCCCTACACATGTCTGGAGCCACTCTTCTCCCTCATTTGACTGTGCCTCTTCTAGGCCCAGGCTTTTCTTCAGTCTCATCCTACACCAGGTTCTTTCTCTTTCCTCTGCCTAGATCACCCTTCCCCCACGCCTGTCCTGCTTACCTCCTCACCTTTCAGATCTTACCTCAGACAGCATTTTCTTCAGAGGAACCTTCTCCAGTCTCCTGAGCTGTGTTAGAGCCATCCTGCGTTTTTCTTTCCTAGCACTTATGTTTGTTATTAGTTACTCCGTGAACATATCTCCCATACAAGCTCCGTGAGGGCAGAACCCTTCCTGTGTTTGTTTGCCATCGTACCCCCAGTGCCAGACAGTCCTGAGCCCAGAGTAAGCACTCCAGGAAATACTGGTTAGGTTTGTTGAATGAATGAGGGTCCTAATCTCAATTTTTCTTTGCTGAAAAACTTGGAGTTTTTACGCTGTCACAGAATAGATATGATTCAAGCCTTACGATTTAATTAGCTGATTTCCTCTACTGTGGGTAGTCCTATTACATTTCCAACTGTCATTAAATACCTTGCCTCTGGGAGGTTAGGGCATTACCACTGCAAGGCAGATCTTAAGGGTCTTTTTCCTCCCTTTTTCCCCCGTACTCATTATCGGACTGGTCACCGTGGCCTGCCCCATCCTGAGTAGGACACGGATATAGGGCTGAGGGTTGAAACTGGGAAAACCGGTACTTGTTGCCTTCAGCTGGGCCACCGTGCCCGAGTTTCGTCTCAGCCTTCTGCAGCCCTGATATGGGAAGGGTCCCGACACATGCTGTTTTCATTGCAGCCGTGGGAAAGTCCACCTTTGTGAAGTTACTCACGAAAACTTACCCCGAGTGGCACATAGCTCCAGAGCCTGTAGCGACATGGCAGAGTGTCCAGGCTGCTGGCACCCAAAAAGTAAGTTTTCAGTTGTGGTGGGTAGTTGGCCGGCATGGGTGAATAAACTCATTGTAATAATCTCATTTGCTCAAAGTAGGTGAAACAGTCCAGTTTGAGTCCCTTTTTTTAAAAATCATTTCATTCCAGAAAGCAGACCACATGTGCCAGAGAGGATATGACTTATTTTGAATATGTTTAGTTTTGATTTTTGTGGTTTTTACATGTCTACATAAGTGACTGCCTCTGTTCTTTGTGGTTTCCCAAAGTATGTCCAGCCGTCCTGGCTTTGTCATTCCTACCCTTGAGTGTATTACTGAAGCTGACCCTCAGGATTAAGAGCTAATCATAGTGATTTTTTAACTTATTTATGAAGTGTTAGAAATTGGAAGGGCCATCTTGTCACAGTCTGAGTCAGTGCAGAAATACTAGCTAACACTTATAAAGCATGAACTTTGCCACATGCTGTGCCAAGCGGTGCACATTTCACTTCTGCCCTGTGGCACAGGACCTAGTGTCGGGCCTGCTACTTTGGGAGGAGCCATGGCATTGGTTTCAACACTAGCCATATCCACGTGAGTAGGGAAGGACCAGTCTGGATGTGAACCTTAGGGGTAGCTGCAGGAATTATTTCCCTACGCTCCTCCCGCAGCCTCCAAGAACATTTCACTGAGTAGCTCATTCTGGTTTTTTTTTTTTTTTTTAAAGATTTTATTTATTTATTTGACAGACAGATCACAAGTAGGCAGAGAGGCAGGCAGAGAGAGAGAAGGAAGCAGGCTCCCCGCTGAGCAGAGAGCCTGATGCGGGGCTCGATCCCAGGACCCTGGGATCATGACCTGAGCTGAAGGCAGAGGCTTTAACCCACTGAGCCACCCAGGCGCCCCATCTCATTCTGGTTTTTAACAAAACTCTAATTGTTAGAGAGTTCTTGTACGAGCCACTTTGCATCCCTGTGATGCTGAGTCATTGGTTCAAGTTCTGCTTCTTGAGTTTCTAACTTCTCTACATGACAACCCTTCATATAGTTGAAGGTAATTCATGATTTGTTTGCTCTTTCTCCTCGTGTCTTCTTTCAGATCAAACACCATTTCCCCCCAGACTGGTCCTCATTCTGAAGTCACTTTGTCTAGGCAATAAGCTCCAGTTGGTTAGTTTTGCACTTAGACTAAGAGTGGTGCTCTGAATGGTAGAGAATATCATAGAACTTGTTCTCAGTGGCATTTTTCTGTTATTCCAGCTCAACATTGTGTTACCTCTTTTGGCAGGCACATCATGCTTGTTGTGGACCTATGTTTTTTTAAATTGTCTCTGTGTGTGTATGTATGTGTTTGTGAAGTTAATTTTCCATTTAGAAAATAAATTACATATCTTTCTCTAAGGATGTCACAGGTCACCTGTTGTGGGGATTTGAAAATATGTCCACAAATTGTTTGTTGAACTTTCCTTTAAGAGGTAGACCCTAATTCTGTCCTTGAGTGTGGGCTGGATTTAGCGCCTTGCTTCTGATGAAGAAAATGTAGCAGGAATAACAGTGGGACTTGCTAGGATAGGCCAAAAGAGACATTGTATCTTCTACCTCTTTCTGTCTTGATCACTTTTGGCTCTGGGGATGCTAGCTGCCATGTCATGAAGCATCCTTGTCTGTGAAGAGGCCCATGAAGCAAGAGATTGAGTCCTCCTGCCAACAGCAGTGTGAGTGAGTCTTCTTGGAAGTGGATCTTTTGTCCCCAGTCAAGTCTTCAGATGATTGGCCTCAGCCAACATCCCCACTGCAACTTCGTGAAAAACCCTGAGGCAGAACCAGCCAGCTAAGCTGTGTCCTGATTCCTCATCCATAGAAACTGAGATAATGAACCCAAGCCACCAAACTTGGGTACAATTTGTTATGCAACAGTAGATACCTAATATTCACGTAGTTCCGATATTCAGAGGTAAAGAGTTTAACGTTTTTGTTCTTTTAGATTTCTTTCTACTTAGGAGAAAATATATATATTTACTTACACCTATATGAATATATAAAACATATATACATTTACTTTTTTTAAACAAAAATTGTAATTGTTACCTGCATGGCCTTTGATATATAAGATCTAACTTCCATAGTAATTTTAATGATTGCAGTGTATTGCATAATATGATTCTTTAATTAATATAATCGATATATTTAATTTAATTAATATATAATGTTATATGTTATATGTAGCAATTTCTTCCTGTTAGAAACAGTGTTACAATGATGAATATCCTTGTAGCTACATCTTTTTTCTTGTTAAGAGCTAAATTTTGTGTCCTTTTATATTTTAAGAAAATCTATGGTTGGAATTTTAATGTCCAAAAATTACACATCTTGTTGATTGTTGACACCTGTTGTAGTTTACATAGTTTTCCTTCAGAAAAGGGGTGCCACTTTCCCCGTACTTTTGGCAACACTGGGTATTGCTCTTTTTCATTGTTGCTAACATGAGGGGCAAGAAAGCCGTTATTTTGTTTTACATTTCTTTGATTACCAATGGATTCAACACCTTTTTTATACTTATCAGCCATTTATTAGTATTCTTTAGTGAATTGCCTATTCAGACCTCTTGCTTCTCCCCCCCACCCCCGCAGATCTTCAAATTTTTGTAATGGCTTTATAAAAGCTCATTGTATGTTAAGTATCTTAACTCTTTGTCACATATTGCTGATCCTTTTCCCCAGTTTGTCACTTTTCTTTTATCTCTATATATGATGTATTTTGCAGTATAATACATTTAAGTTTTTATGTAGTCAAATCTGTCTTTTTCTTCATAATTACTGCCTTTGATGTCTTAGAAAGACTCACAATCCAAAATTATAAAAGCATGTGCCTGCATTTCTTTCTCATGCTTTTATGGTTTTATTTTGCTCTTTATGTGACTTTAAAAGTTATAGGAGGCTGATTTTTCCCAAGTCATTATTTTCATTTTGTAGTAGTATTCTTGTTTTATTTTATTCCTGAGTGGTTATTTAATTCTTATTATGGTGACTGGGATCTGTTTTCCCATCATCTTTTTCAAACTGGTTATTATTGTTTTAAAGGAAAACAGTTAATTGTTTAGGAAAGCAGTTAATTGTGTTTGTCTTGTAATTTTTTTTTTTTTTTTGCTTTATTTGCTTGAGGTTTCAGAAAATTATAGTTTTCCCTAAATACTTATCATTTGTAAGAGTTTTCCAATAGCCATACTTCACTTCTATTTTCTTGTTTTCTTTTATTGGATAGAAGTTCCAGAGCAATACTAACTATAATGGCACTGATGGTAGTCAGCCTTAACTTGTTCTATCTTTAATGAAACTACCTCTAATATATCAATATTAAGTTTTGTGATTGTTAGTCGTTTCAATAGATCATGTGGAGGAAGTACCCTTATAATTATTAGGACAGGAACTATTTTCCTCAGGATCAGATATTGAATTTTCATCAAAAGCCTTTTTAGTATCTAGTGAGATAACCACAGGGTTTTTCCTTTTTTAATCTCTTAGTATTAGTAGATTTGATAATGGTGCCATCTGTACATTCTAGAATGAATGAACCCTTTTGATCATGGTACATTAGCCCATTAATTTGCTAATAGATTGTTTGAAATTTTGCATGTATATTTATATATTTAATTGGTATTACTATTTTTTGACAGGTTTTACCTTTGGGGTTATAAAATGAATTGGGAAGTTTTATACTGTTTTAGTGTAGGAATTATTTATTCTTTGAAGGAGGGATAGAAATTTTTTTTTAGATAGTATGGATTCACTGCTCTTTGGGTGGAATAGTAAATGGACAGCTGTTTCTTCCTCAGCTATTCAGGGTTTGCGGGTTTTGTTTTGTTTTTTATCCTCTTGAATCAATTTTGATAACCCTTGTTTTCTTAGAAAATTTCCCTTCTATTGAGATTTTCAAATTTAATAGTATAAAAGTAGTACCTATATTTTTTTATGCTTCAATCCAGAGTGACTGTGTTTTTTGTCTAATGTTACTTGTTTGTGTTAATATTTGGGGAGGGCTAGATTTGATAGATGATTGTCTCTTTTCTTTTTAAAAGACCCAGTTAATGGGTTTTATTAATTTTGTGGAGACTTGCATTCTAATTCATTAATTTTGGACTTTAAATTTACTCATTTCTTTCTAAGAACTTCTGTGTATTTTTAAAGTTAAATGATTAGTTTGTGTACTTTTCTTTTTTTCTTTCCTTAATAATAAAAGCATTTGCAGCTGAAAATTTTCTTCATGGAATAAGCTTTGGCCTTGTCTTGTAGAGTTTGACATATAAGATTTCAGTTTGACGTACAAGAAATACCAAATCTGTAATTGTCGTTTTTGATTTGTTTTGTAGTTTTTTATTTATTCTTTGCCCTAGAATTATTTTTAAAGTATTTTACATTTTCTGGGTAGATTTTGTATAGATTTTTTTACTCAAGTTTATTTTGTTATGGTTAGACAACATGGCTTTTGCAGTTTCTAATTGGGGGAACTTACTGAGGTCTTCTTCATGGCTTATGTATGATTGAATTTTATATATGATCAATTTTGGTAAATGTGCCATGAACTTCTGAGAAGAATATGTACTATCTCTAAGGTATGGAGTTTGATGTGACATATATTATAAATTCTAAGATGCCATTGATTCTAAGACACATAATCAATTTAATAATACTTCTAAGGAATAATTAAAATGTCTGTTAAAGTTTAACTTAAGGGGCATCTGGGTGGCTCAGTCATTGGGCGCCTGCCTTCGGCTCAGGTCATGATCCCAGGGTCCTGGGTTCAAGCCCTGCATCAGGTTCCCTGCTTGGCGGAAAGCCTGCTTCTTCTTCTTCCATTCCCTCTGCTTTTGTTCCCTTTCCAGCTGTGTTTCTCTCTGTCAAATAAATAAAACCTTAAAAAAAAAGTTTAATTTAAACATTGTAAGATGTACATCAATTTCAGATATGTGAAAAATAATAATGACTTAATAATAACAATTTAAAATAAGCTCTCATTTTTGGGGTCTACTTTTTATCTTAAATTCTGAGAAAAGTGTGGTAAGGTTTGTGCTTTTATTTTGTCCATTTCTTCTTGTATTTTTAATTGGCTCTACTCTTACATTTCTATATTTCAGGACTTTATTATTGCATGCAAAAAGGTTTGCAACTCCTTCGTGTAGTCTTTTTTGGTTTATTAGTATTAAAAAAAAACCCTCTTGTAGCATTTAAGGCTTTTTCAAAATAGCATTTTGCCACATCTGCTTTCTTTTTATTTGGATCTGTTTGGTGGATTTTGCTGCCCTTTGTCCTTAAGTAATACACGTCATCTTGTTTTAGGTATTTTTCTCATGGGATTTTTAGTTTTTACCCAATGTTAGGGTTTGCCTTTCCTGGAAATTTTTCTCTTTTATTATAATTATGCTTAACTTATTTCTGTCACCTTATTTTGTGCTTTCATCTCCTTTTTTTCCCCTTTTTGCTATATTTAATATTTTCTTTCATTTTTCTCCCCTTTATTCATATGAGAAACTTACTGTTTTTATCCTAACAGGGGAAACATGTAAATTAAAAATGCACGTGTGTAGACCTATCTTTCAATGTTAATGGAGTGTCTGTTACAGAGAAAAGAAGCCAAAACAGAATTCTGTTACTTTTTTATTACCTTCTTTGCCAGGTATATTGAAATTATCTGAAATTTTGTAGATCCAGAATGTTTTTACTTTGTGAAATTTCTCAACAATAGAAATGTGGCACTCAATTTCACAGCCACATAAGTAATGGTTTCTCAGTTACACCCATACCTACACTTAACTCTGTTCTACTGGTTGATCACTGACCACTGTTTTCCCCTTACCACATCTTCCCATTTCTTAATTTTTTCAGTTGGTTGAAGTATATTTTAGAGAATTTTTTCAAAAAGGGCATGTGGGTGGTATAATTTGAGTGATTACTTGTCTAAAAAAGTCTTCCTTTTGCTCTGGAATGTAAAAGGTAGTTTCTGTTGTAGGGAAGCATTATATAGTTCTGATCTTTTTTTTTTTTTTTAATAATTCATGTGATTTCCCCAGCATTAGGTTTTTGTTTTGTTTTTATGAATTATCAGTATTTTGGCAGGATACGTCCAGTTTGGGTTTCTTGTGTGCACATGTGTGTGTTTATGAAAGCTGTATATGTAATCTTTTCTGGTACTCTGAATTTTTCTGGTGGAAAGTCTCGGGTCTCAGAGATTTTCTTTAATTTTTTTCTTTTGTTTTAGCTTTTCTATCAGATCAAGTCTTTCTTACTATAACTTCTAGTTTTAAACTTTTTCTTGAATACCTAGAGATACTACATGGTTCTGTCAGTGATTCTCAGTGATGATGAAATTTGATGAGAAGGAGACACACCCCTCATGAGTAATGGTCTTCCTGTGCTCATCTCTTGTTGGGGATGGCATTTCCCCTCTCTGTATTGGACTCTTGTCTAATGAGAAGGAAAATTGTTTCCTTAGGTAGCTTTGTCTGAGCTACGGGTACTGTCGAGTTGTGGGTCATTTTAGCTCTTGTTTGGAAAGTTGTTTGATATAAAATTATATTAATTACTGTGAGGTGGAACACAAGTGACATTACATCTTGATATATCTTTCCAGAGGAAAAAAAAGAAAGGCAAAAAATACCCTAGCATGATACTACAGTGTACACTGGATCTCCTCCTTCTAACCTGTATGTCTTCATTTGTGTCATAATTTACTGGGTGGTTTTCCCTCCCTTAGTTTAAGGAACATTTCTTGAGCTGATGTTCTGTATGACATTGACTAATTAGGTTTACTGTAGTATACAGTCTGCTAGTTACTGTCTTCATAGGGTGTTTTGTTTTCGCAGTTGCATTTTTTCTCCTCTAAGAATGTTCTTTTCATATTATTCCTGTTTTTATGACAGCCTGTCCTTATCAATGTAGCAGTCTCTTGAATCTCATTGAGATTTTTCTGTTTTGTTTTGTTTTATTTCTGTCAACAGCTCTGTCTCTTAAGGGGCTGCTTGTCCTGAGCAGATGCATTGGTTTTCTCCCTTTGAATTGCTGAATATTACTATATCCAGTCATTGTCCCTCTCTCTGCTTATGTATTTGAAGGGATGTTTGCATTTGTTCTGTAGCTGAGATGGTTTCTTTCAGAAATTGTGTAGTCCCTGTACAGTTTTTGTTCCAGAACAGTCTCCCTTGGGTAGCCCAGAGGCCACTAGTACATCTGTACACATAGCCCCTCACTCTCTTCACTGGAATTCCATGCAGTCTCTAACCATGCTGCACCCCACGGGCACTCTGCTATCTCTAGTGACGCCATCAGAGACTCACATGGATTCAGATTTGTCCCCCTGCCTCTACTTCCAACTCTTAACCACCAGTTATTTGTGAGACTGCTGGTCTGTGTTTGTGGGTTAGAAGATTGGAAGGGGGGAGAACATGCTGTGATCCATTCTGCTCTCCCTGCGTTGCTCCCAGTGAAGCCTTTCAAAGGGCTGGAATCCTTTTTCAGAATCTGTGGTTGATATTTAGCCAAACGGGACCACTTGTGGTTGTCTAACCTGTTCCCCCTCCTCTATCTTTTTTTCCACCCCAAAGGTGCTCTTAGTCCCCGTTTCATGTGTCATTACTTCCCAGCTTGTCTTTATATGGAGAAGCATTAGAATGAAATTAGAGGAAGCCAGGTTTGAGTCCCTGTTCTGCACTTACTCACCTTGAAACCTTGGACAAGTTACTTAACCTTTCTGAGTGGATTTGACCCTCTCAAGAAAATGAGCATGACAGCAGTGCCCTCTTCATGAAGCTGTTTTGAAGATTAAATGACATAACAGCACAAGTGAACATGGAAAATAAATCTTAGTTTTGTTTTCTCTACCCCTTACAGCCTTGAGCCTGTATAGCGCCTCATCCACGGGGGCCTTCGGTTAATGGAGATGAATGAATTCACTTTTGTGCTGGGTCAGTGGCAGAGTCCAGGGCTCCCAAGTATCTCATGCATGTTCCCACCTACATATGCTGAGGAAGTGGGTCTTCAAATACTTTTCATAACGTCTCCAGAATGGAGGAGGAAGGTTGCGTTTGTTTTAATCCCTTCTGTGTGTGAGAGAGAAAATTCTGTTTGGTTGGTTAGTTGGATTTTCAAATAATCCGTTACTTTCTTATCTGGGTTGAAGTTTTGTAAAGAAGTAGCCACAGATGGAAGTTCAAAAGAGAGGCCACATAGTGTTATAATGGGAAGATTCGATTCCAAGTAGTCTTAGGTGGTTGTCGGTTAGCTCCTGGTCAGACAGACTCCACAAACTGGTCAGTGAATGTGCTAATTGTCTGGTGGTTCTTCCTCTGCTCTTCTCTGGTATGTTGAAGGTGGCATGTCCTCTCCTCTCAAATTCTTGTTTTATCGTGTAGGAAATCTCTTCCTCGATTAAATAGCTTTGACTCAACTGGGAGATAGGATTATATCTTTAGGAGAAGGAAACTTTTGTTATTGCTTCCCTCACTGATTATTAGACCATGGTGGTGGGGAGTAAACACCATGAGGTATATAAACTTTCTAGGAAATTCTCCTCTTTTCTAATTTCCCTCTAGGCCTTCACTGCCCAGAGTCTTGGAAACTTGCTGGATATGATGTACCAGGAGCCAGCTCGATGGTCCTACACATTCCAGACGTTTTCTTTTATGAGCCGCCTGAAAGTACAGCTGGAGCCCTTTCCTGAGAAACTGTTACAGGCCAGGAAGGCGGTACAGATCTTCGAGAGGTCCGTGTACAGTGACAGGTAAGACCCTGAGCCCTTCACTGGTCACAAGCCCCATGCTCAGCACTGCGTGTTTTCCTTTCTTGCTCCCCTGTGGTTATTGATAATTGTACTTTTTCATTGCCCATTTACTTCTGAAGATGCTAAGTTGGTTACCCATTTACTTCCAAATTAGACAAACTAGTTCTACTTCTTAGTGTTCCCATAAATCCTCCCAGAGGGAAAAAAAGAAGGGTACACTCACTTGGAAGTGTCATATAAATTTCTTCTAACATTATCTCAAAACCAAGCAAGATACGTAGAACAAGTCCTGTGGGCTACATATTCCTTCTCTACCCTAAGAGAGAGTTTACTCTTTTTTTTTTTTTTTAAGATTTTATTTATTTGACAGACAGAGATCACAAGTAGGCAGAGAGGCAGGCAGAGAGAAGGAAGCCCTGATGTGGGGCTCAATCCCAGGACCCTGGGATCATGACCTGAGCTGAAGGCAGAGGCTTTAACCCACTGAGCCACCCAGGTGCCCCGAGAGTTTACTCTTTACAAAAGCTAAATATGTGAATTATAAGTAGTTGAGCTATAGATGTGGGTTCTTTTGTTGGGTACACAGTTGTTGGGTACACTACTGCATGTTTTTCTCTCCTGTTTCCCAAGCCATGCCTCTTAGACTAGGAAGATGAATTACATATAACTGTCCTGGTTACCTGGAAACAATTCACCATGGGTTTTTTTGATTTAGCCCTTTAGTGAAGTAGGCATGTGAAAGACCCCTCAGAAAAAGAAATACTTCGTTGAGAAGTTACAAGATCTTAACGTTTTCTTGTAAAGGAAGAGATAAGAATTGATTTTGCTATAGGCAGCTGCACATTCTGGGTATTTTCTTCAGAGGGGGCATTTTTGAGATAGAAAGGACAATTCATTATATATTCTAATTGTGATAGTAATTTAGACCTTTTGCCTTCTTTAAAAAATTCATTCATTCTTTCCTTTGCTCAGCACAGACTTACTAAATCCCCATATGTTCAGGCACTGGGCTAGACCCTGGGGTGCAGCAGTGAGCAAGGCAGACCCAGTCCCTGCCTTTAGGGCCACCATAGTGTAATGGGGACTCTGAGACAGCACACATGCTCACGTGTGTGATGTGTGTCCCAAAGGAGGAACACAAGTTGTTCAGGAGAGTGGATGACTAGGAAGAAGAAATCTAAATCTTTTCTGTTGGAGTTAAACAATAGTGTGTGGTTTTAGAACGGGGACCCTGCTGCTTGGGTTCTGATGCTCCTTCTGTGCGGCGCCTGCCTGGAGACTGCAGTGGTTCCCTCCCCTGGTCCTGTGCACCCCAGAGGTCTTCCCCCCTCCGCCGGTCACCACTAGCTGTGGAGAAATAGAGAGGTGCTCATCCCCAAGAAAGAGGAGGGCCCCTCTTAAAGGGCTTCTTAACAGATACATCATTGCTCTTTGTGGGATTTTAACTTCTAAGTTGCCTGTGAAGAAGCTGAAACTATTTTTCAGAAATTGAGTTACAGACGTCATCTTTCTGTGTTGCCTTCAGCTAGACTATAGATAAACCATCCCAGACTGAGAAAGTTGACTTAGGGAGCCCCTAGGTTAATTGCTTCACAGCCCAGCAAAGAAGTAGGTATAATAGCAAAGATGTCCGACTCCTCTGCGCCTAGTCACTCCTCCAGGCACCTCGTGAGTGCTCCCTGCAGTCGTCACCACAGTGCTGTGAGTCAGGTTCTCCCATCATCTCTTTGTACAGAGGAAGAAATGGCCTGAGGGAGTTTGAGGACTTGCCCACGGCAACCCAGTTTGTGAATTTTGTGGGCCAGGCTCACACTCGGGACTGTGACGCTGCTGCCCATTCTCTTCCTCGCAACACTTGCAGCCTTGTGGTGTATACTTTTCTGGACCATTCGTGTACAAGGATTCTGAATTTCGTTTTCCCAGAAGTGGCCAGTTGCTAAGCGTTGCCTTAGAAACTAGTGTTCATTGTTTAGGATATAAATTGTGTTTTGTATCAAGATGCCTGAGGTTTGAAAGCAGAATTGCCCCTTCTGAAGCAATGGTTTCTTCCTAGCTCTGATTTCCTATTTACCAGATGCTCCTTTAGTTGTGGAAGTAAGCAAGGGGCAAGCTCGTTTGATTTTTAGATTTAGCTTTCTTGTACCTGGACTAGAAGCTCAGTAGCAGAGGAAGCAAGTAAGGGCTCCTGTGTGCTTTGGGGAGGGTCTGCTTTCTGGGGAACACTGCTGTGAAGAGGAAATGCCTCCCCAGCTCTGTAGGGGACACCACTTCCCTACATTGCCTTCTGCACTTATTATCCACACGAGAGGATGGCTCAGCTGCCTGGAGGCTCAGAAGGCCTCATAAGCCCTAGATGCTTTGTTGGTTTGGGGGCTGGCTGCAATGATGAAGAAACCTCAAAAGTGTGAGTTTGCGTGCACCGTAGCTGCATGTCCTGCGTGGCCTCCAGCAGGGAGAATCGCTGGCAACCGCTGGTCGTCTTTTCCACTGCTTCTGTTCCTCCAGTGGATTAATCCAGTTGGAGAGCTGTGGTTTGGGCTTCTAAAGTCGACATGCTATTTCCCATCTTACTGCTGAACAAGGAAGGAGATACAGGCTAAGAATTCAGATTTCTTAAAGATTGAGCCAGAAAGGTTAAATGGCTTGCACAGTCATGGAACAAGTTGGTTATTGATTTTTCTGCTTCTCTCCCTTTTACCTTTCATTCCCTTAACCATTCTGATCACCTCCCCTGATCCCACCTGTATTTCCAACCAGGTATATCTTTGCGAAGAATCTTTTTGAAAATGGTTCCCTCAGTGACATCGAATGGTATATCTATCAAGATTGGCATTCTTTTCTCCTGCGGGAGTTTGCTGGCCGGCTGAGATTACATGGCTTCATCTACCTCCAGGCTACTCCCCAGGTAATGTGGAATGTCAAGCCTTAATCCTCAGTGTTGTAGGAAACCTAAGAGATGATACTCTCCAACACCCAATTTTCTGGTTGGAGAAATTGGAGCGGATATTATGTGGAGCATGGAGAGCAGTGGGGGTCACACCCTCCTGTTCTGGCATCGAGCACCCCATTTCCCACAGGCTTTCTGCAGCAGAGGGCTAAAGCAGTCGACTGACAGAAAGGGGCCCTCTCAATGTAACAACAACGTAGAGAACATCGGGCATTGCCCTTCTTGGCCAGGGTTTGCACATTGGCTCCTCTGGCCAGGTCACCTGTAGCCAACTGTCTTGGCTTTCCCTTTCCTCCAGCTGGGTCCTTGGAGTCTGATGGTCTTGATGGTTGCCTGATATTAGCCTAATTTATAGTTGCCTTTTGAACCTTGAGGGTGTTGCTGGTAAGTCAGGGTGGACTACAGAAGTTACAGTCTCTGACTTCTCTGACTTGGACCCTGGAGCCAGCCTCATACACTATAGGGTGATGTTGCAGGAGGAGCACCAAAGTACTGACTGGCAGTGACCATGGACAGCCCCTAGATACCTCTTCCCTGGAAGTGTCCTTGTCTGTCAGATTTAGTGGCTCAGGCTAGTGGTCTCTAAGGGCTCTTCTGGAGTGGGATTCTGAGTCAAGGCTGTAGGTATTTTTCGAGAGGTGTGTTGATCTCAGCTTTTGAGACATATGTAATGGGTGGTCACATGTCAGGTCAGGTGTACAGCATAATCTCAGGAGGAAAGCTCCTTCTGACCAGAGGCTACGCTTTCTAGAGACAAGACTGAGCCTTGTGGACGGAGCAGGCCAGAGAGTAGACTGAGCAGGGTCAAAAGATAGTGGGGAGCCCAACACGTGGACTTGCAGGAGCGGGAGAGGAGAAGGCCAGCAAGAAAGGCTTCCTCACTTCTTTGTGCACTTGGAATGACTGTGAGAAGGAGACAGTGATGATGAGGCTGTGACTGATACATCTTTATGCAGAGACTAACCGAGGTCTTTGAGCTGGGGGAACCTGAGGGGGTTTGAGGGGTTCTTGCAACTTAAAGGTAGAAAAAGCAAAAAAGCTTTGACTGGATGGGGATTTTGATGCTCTTCCGGTGGTTTTAGAGCCAGAGACCCAGGAATGCTTCCCCAGAGCCACCCCGACCCCTTCTGTGAGATTCAGAGGTGACGCTATCCAAGGGAAGAACAGAACAGAAGTGAACCACATCTCTGTGTGAAAAGCCATGTAATTGCCCTGTACTCTAGGACAGAGCCCTGGGAAATACTGAGTTTAGAGCTTGTGAGATGGACCTAAGGAGGGCATTTTGCTCCTTTCTACCTGCTCTTCCCTAAGCTCTAAGAAGCAAGCAGACCGACATAAAAAAATCAGTCAAAAGAGAGATGTGGGCCTCAGGGTCCCCACCCAGCCCTATGGAATCACGAAGAGAGTGCAGCCAGCTGGGCCTTGCTGGGGACTGTTGGCGGCGTGGAGACGGCGTGTGGGGATGCCTGGCCCAAATGGCATGTGGGTTTGGGCCTGGGAAACACAGTGGCGAGACCCACCACCAGAGTCGCAGTCCAGTTGCCGTCACAGCAGTCCTTTCTCCTGGGTGGTTGCTGAAGGGGGCAGGTCAGCAGGAGGGTCCCCCCCTTGCCGTTCATAGCCCACTGCCTTTCTTAGTCATGTTCAGGTGTACCCTCCCCATGATGACTGATAGCAGACACAGGTCTAGAGCACTGCTTGCACAGGACTTGTTAAAAAAGAATTTGTTGTAGCTGTACCAGTAAAACAAGCATTATGCCAAATGCTCAAAATAGGAGCTTACCTATTAATCATGCTCCTTAGAATTTACTCCATAAATACGCTCCCACACGGGCAAAGTGGCTCCTGTGCCAACCAGCACTGTTTGTAATAGCGGGTCGTTGGACACAGCCCAGGTGGTCATCGGTAGGGGCAGATTGTATTATGCTCTGGCCCTGCGCTGGAAAGCTCCAAAGCTGTGAAAATGGGAAGACACCATACTAACGTAACAGTCTCTAAGACATTGTTAGGTGAAGAAAAGCTGGCACAGAGAGTATGGTGGGACACCTTTTACAAGTATGTTTTTTTAAAAGGTGGGGGTAAGGTGTATACGCGTGGACTGTTTCTGCAGGCATACAGAAAGTTACTGTCGGTTGCAGCGATGGACAGCTGGACCGCTAGAAGTCAGGCTGGAGGGCTGTGTGATGGGGAAGGGAGGCAAACAACGGGAAATGTTTTGAAGCCATCAGCAGTAAGAGTGGGGTGTGGGGACAGAGAGGGAAGAAAAAGCAGATTGATGGTGAAGGAAAGTAGAAAAGGAAAAGATGAAGGCAGGAGACAAAGGTGGATGGAGCTGGGGGACGGGATCAGAGCAAACCATGAATGAAGGCAGCAGGTATGTACTGAGCTCGGGCTCTGCCAGCCTGGCTAGCGCTCAGGCCTGAACAACACAGGCTGTGGTCCTCAGCCTCTGTGCCCCCTGTGCACGCCTCCCTCTGTCTCCTGCGGCAGTGGACGTGCCACTAAGATGCTGGGGAGCTGGTACGAGAGATAAAGGGGGAGCTCCTGCCGCCTCCGGGGAGTGCCTTTCTGACTGTTGGGGCCCGGTGGCTCCCTTCGTTGTCTGCACTGATGCCCTGAAGGTCCAGACCTCACAGTTTAGCACTTGATTCACTGTTTTGCTTATTGTTTTATTATCTAACTAAATTTTTTTTTTTTAAGATTTGTTTATATGACTGAGAGGGATCACAAGGAGGCAGAGAGGTAGGCAGAGGGAGGGGGAAGCAGGCTCCCCGCTAAGCAGAGAGCCCAATGCGGGGCTCGATCCTAGGACCCTGAGATCATGACCCGAGCCGAAGGCAGAGGCTTAACCCACTGAGCCACCCAGGCGCCCTATCTAACTAAATTATAAAATCCCAAGGACAAGGACTTCATCTACGTTGGGGATGATAATTGATTAGGGGAAAAGGCTGATGAGAAGGAGTAAGTGCTAAAAGTATTAACCTGTTAGATCTGTCCCCATTAATCAATCTGAGAAGCTGGACATAAGCTCATAAATGAAATTTGTTTACATGATTTTGTCTCCTTAGAGGAAAGGTGGGATGCACAGCATGGACTCTGCATCTTCGGGAATACCGTGCAGTTCATTTGGGCCTGAAGTTTACATTGGGAATAAAGTTTTTCAAGCATTCGAATGAGGGTGGTCCTAGCTCAGTGAGTCAGTCCAGCTCTTCTTCCTAGGACAGATGACATTGAACGATAAAATGTTTGCCAGGTGGAGAGAGGAAGGGAAGCAATCAAGCAAAACGAACATTGGGAGCAGAAGTCTCAAGGTGGGAAAGAGCTTGGTCTGTCACTCGGGTCCCATCTGGCTTAGTCCAGAGAGGTACTAAGGAAGTTGAAGGTGGAGGGGTTGGAGGAGTGGCCAGAATCCCGGATGGCTTTATGTAACAGGTAAAGGAGAAGATGACATTCTCTGAGCCAGTGTGTTTTAGACTTTTCTGCCAGCTGAAGGCAGAATGGAATGATGCCCACTCTGGAAAGCGGGAAGGAAGGAGAGTTAGTCTTAAGCCTCACTTTTTTTTTTTTTTACTTCTTTATTTTTGACCTATACAAAGTTTGCCTTCTGCTCCAGAGTCAGTGAGTGACAGGTTAAGGCATCTTTCAGATAACTTACCATTTTGTAACTGTGATGCTCCTCATACTTCCTTGAACCTGGGGCTTTATGGCTCTAGGCAGTAGGGAGCCTGGGAGGTGTTTGCAGCAAGGAGAGTTCTGCCTTCTCTTGCGTAACTATGGAAGGGCTGGTGGAGGCAGCTCACTGGGAGGAGAGAGCAGCAATGGCCAGGATCTTGACACACCTTAACCTTGGTGAGTCCTCACGGCATCCCCCAGAGTTAGTGGAGGGCAGGAAAGAAAGCCCATAAAGATTGCACCACTGGTACATGGTGAAGACAGGAAGTGAATCGTGGATTTTCTGACTTTAAGGCCTGTGCTAATCCCATGCACTTCACTGCCTCCAGAAAGCAGAGAGCCAGAGGACTCCTGCCATGGTCTAGGTGAGAGGTGAGGCAGACCTGACGAAGGCAAAGGTGAGAGAGATGAAAGGGGATTTAGTGACTTCCTGGATGGGATTGGGAGGAGGAAAAAGCAGGGTAATTACAGCTCCCCAGGGTAGATGAAGTTTGCCATTAACCTGTGATCATAAGGAAACAAGAAAAGTAGAAGCAAGGTCAGGGCTTATCATTCCCAGGTTGGATGTTGTCAGGAGTGGGTCCTAGAGCCCCCGAAGAGCACATCGTCACAGCCAGGATAATGCTTGAGCTCAGCATGGCCTGGGGGTTGTCTTGTAGGTTTGTTTGAAGAGACTCCACCAGAGGGCCAGGAAAGAGGAGAAGGGAGTTGAGCTGGCGTATCTGGAGCAGCTTCATGGTCAGCACGAAGCCTGGCTTGTTCACAAGACAACTGAGTAAGTGGAGAAGACATCACACACAGACACCTGCCTTCCTACAGCCAGGTGCTCAAACACAAGCTCAACCGGCAGCCCCCTGAGAAGGTTCAGGATAGACCAAGTGGTTAGAAATCGGAGAAGCTCAATATTAGCTATAATCTGTATATTTTAAGAGGCATTTTATTAGATTTTGTTTCTCCAGCTTTTTTGTTTTTTAACATTTCCCTAGATTGAACATTGTAATGATGGGGATAGAGTTGACACAGGGTGAAAAATTTGAGAGAAATTGTCAATTTTACTAAGCTGACAGTCCTAGTTTTGGACTTTCCTCCCTCCAGGCTTGGTATGTAGTCCACTTGAAATGTTTGGGGCTCTGACCTTCAGTATCCATCTCAAGACTAAAGAGAAGTTTTCAGCCTTCCTCTTTGTAGCCAACTTTATTAAATTCTTTTTTTTTTTCTTTTTTAATTGTAATTTACATGCAGTTCTACTGAGAAGCCTTGTGACTTTAGGTCTGTTCTATGGATTATTAAGACATGGTGAGTATGTGAAGGGTCAGCTGTGTTTTTTCTTTTTTTTTTTTTTTTATAGATTTTATTTATTTATTTCACAGACAGAGATCACAAGTAGGCACAGAGGCAGGCAGAAAGAGAGGAGGAAGCAGGCTCCCTGCTGAGCAGAAAGCCCAATGCGGGGCTCGATCCCAGGACCCTGAGATCATGACCTGAGCCGAAGGCAGAGGCTTTAACCCACTGAGCCACCCAGGTGCCCCAACTTTCTTTTTTTCTGTTCGTGCTTCTTACAGGCTCCACTTTGAGGCTCTGCTGAACATTCCAGTGCTGGTGTTGGATGTCAATGAAGATTTTTCTGAAGAAGTAACCAAACAAGAGGAACTCATGAAAAAGGTGGAGGAGGACCTTAACTCCTGCTTCTAGTGATTTTCCTTTATTGCACTTTAATCTTTGCTTCAGACTTCAATGTAATGGGCCTTGCGCTTTGTGCTTCAAATTGCATTTCACACTCTAAAGCCTACAGGGCCTTGTACAAGTCACAAATACAGTCCCTATTCTCTAAAGCATTTTGGGCTAATAATTGTTAAATAATAGACTTGCTCCCTAACTTCCTCCTCAAAGGTATTTTTGGACTGGGGAAATGCAATTTCTGGATTCTCTTTTCAGCTCAGCCACTTCCACTACATGACCCTGTGCAAGTCCCATTTCTTCCCCTTTCCAATTTTTCCTAATTTATAACACCTCATGGGTGTGGCCACGTACCAGTGTGGGTGGACTAATGTAGAGTCTGCTGAAAATGTGAAATTTAACTTTTGGTTTTTCTCTTTCCCACAGGTAAACACCTTTGTAAAGAATCTGTAACCAGTACTGGGATGTTCTGGCCATGACCTGGGCTCTCTGACTTTCTAAAGCTGGAAAAATCCTAAGTCCTGTACCTTGCCATCTCCTTTTACCCCTAGAGTCCTCTGACCCTCGGGTCCCTGGTTTGTGTTAGTCTTTGACTTTGCAATTCCCGTCTTTTATATCTCAAGGACTTCTAAAATAAAGTGGAAGTTTTGCTTCTTTTGCTAATCCGGTTGTTGGTTTCTCTCTGGGTCCCTACTCTGAATTCCCCTCTAGATGAGCCATTTTCACCTGAGGACAGTCAGAGCTTTTCCTCTTGAATCCTTTGCCACCCAGACTTCCTTATGTCTGCTTATTCCCTCTGACATGCCCAGGCAGGGATTGTTCAAGCCCTACCCTGGGCATGAAAGGGAAGTACGGTGGCTCAGGAGAGGGTGGACACTCTGTGCGAGCCCCAGAGCTAGGGTTGGAATCCAGACTCTAGGATGTTCCTTTCTCTCTTCCCATCCAGCACTCTTGTTAGGGGGGCATGGGGCACTCAGACCTTTGTGCTAGAGCTGAAGAACATGGACCAAAGGGGAGAAAGAAAGGGAGAAAATAAATCCGGAGCCCCATAGTCCAGCATCTCACATTTAGGGCTCGGTCATCCCGGCACGCTGGCCTGTCCAAAGTATTGTACCCACTGAGTGTCATGTGCTCTCAACGGAGTGACTGTGCTGGAAGGAGAATCTTTCGTGCTGCACTTGAAGCTCCAAGGACATTCATTAGTAAGGGAGAAAAACACATGGCTCTATAGACTTGAAGTGCTCCATTGCAAGAAGCCTGCAGGTCCCTGATTCCCTGGGAGTGGATTTCCTGCACTGAGCCCTTGACAGTTGTGCGAGCACACAGGAAAATGAATAAGCTCAGGCAGCAGTGTCCTGGAAGACAGAAACCTGTGTTTTCCTTTATGCTTGGGAAAACGGGTGTGAGCTTGGCTTCTGACAAATGCATGCCATTGCGAAATAGAAACACAGCGTTTCTTTACCTTACTTAAATTTTCAACAGCTTTATTGAGATATAATTCATGTACCAAACAATTCACCTAATTAAAGTGTACAGTTCAGTGGTTTTTAGTACAGTCCATAGGGTTGTGCAACCATGATCACAGTCAATTCCAGAATGTCTTCAGCACCCCAAGAAAAATCCCCAGCCAACTGGTGGTCACTCCCCATCCCCTGTCACCCCTGCTTCTCCCACCCCAGGCCAGCTCTGGGCAGCCACCAGGCTACTTTTGTCTCAATCTAGATTTGCCTTTTCTGGACATTTCATATAAATGGAATCACGTAAGATGTGGCCTCTTGGGAATGGTTTCTTTCACTTTTAAGGGTTTCAGGGTTCAGCCATGTACCATACATCAGTACATCATTTCTTTTTTATAACTAAATATTTCATTGTATGGCCATACCACATTTTGTTCACCCATTCATCTACTGATAGATGTGGATTCTACTTTCTGGCTATTGTGAATAATGCTAATGAAAATTCGCATACGAGTTTTTAGATTTTAATTTTTCTTGGGTATATACCAAGGAATGGAATTACTGGGTCCAATGGTAACTCCATGTTTAACTTTTGGAGGAACTGCTAAACTTTTCTGAAATGGCTGCACCATTTTACATTCTCTGGAGCAATATATGAGAGCTCCAGTCTCCCCAGGTCCTTGCCAACACTTGCTGTCATTCTGATTATGGCCATCCTAGTATCCTGTCATGGTTTCGATTTACATTCCCTGGTGGCTGTAATGCTGTTGAGCATCCTTTCATGTTCTTACTGGTCATTTGTATTCTTTCTTTGGAAAAATACCTCTTCAGTTTAATGGACAAATTCCTTGTCCATTTTTTAGTTCGGTTCTTTGGCTTTTTATTGTTGAGTTGTATGAGACTTTAGATATTCCGGATAAAAGTTTTTATCAGAGACATGATTTATAAATATTTTTTTTCCATTCTGTGGGGTGTATTTTGATAGTGTGCTTTGAAGCACAAAAGTTTGTAATTTTGACAAGGTCTAGTTTAGTCACTTGTGCTTTTGGTGGCATGTCTAAGAAAATTTTGAACAATGCAAGGTGACAAAAGTTTGCTCCTACATTTTCTTCCAAGAGTTGCATAGTTTTGGTTCTTACATTAGGCCTGTGATTGATTTTGAGTTAATTTTGGTGTGTGGTGTAAGGAAGGATTCAGTTTCATTCTTTGGCATGTGCATATCCAGTTGTCCCACCATTAGTTGGAAAGATTATTCTCTTCTCCCACTGAACTGTCTTGTTACTGTTGTGGAAAATCGGACCCACTTGTTCTTGCATCTGTTGACCGCTACAGGCTTTGGACAAGACAACATGAACATAGGATGTTAGGTATGTTTTAGAAACTCAATGGTTTGGGTTCTTTAGCTTTGAGGGGCTTAAATGTTTAATTTCTATTTCCATATCCAGGAATCACTAACGTAGAAATCTGTAGACCCAGAATAAGAGCATGAGGCCCACTCCTTCACTCAGTTAACCAGTCATCAAACACTTGTATCTGCTCTCTGCTAGAGACCGAGGAGAAAACAGTGAGCACAACAGAAGGCAGACCTTGTCCTTACCCTGCAGAATTAATCTAATGGTGAATGTGAAAGACCCTCAGCGAGTAATTGCAGGTATGGTGGCCATTCTGAAAGGAGAAGTGCAGATGGTGTGGGGGCCTAGAGCAGAAGGAGCCAACATAACCTAGGATAGCCCCCCTAAGAAAGTGACAGCTGTTCTGAGTTCTGAAGAATGAATGGGGCAGGTCATTCAGGCAGGGGAAAAGGTCACAGGCCAAGGCCTCTGTATGAGAATGAGGCATTAGGCTCAGCTTGTCAAAACTGAATGAGGTGGGGCGCCTGGGTGGCTCAGTGGTTAAAGCCTTTGCCTTCGGCTCAGGTCATGATCTCAGGATCCTGGGATCGAGCCTCACATCGGACTCTCTGCTCAGCAGGGAGCCTGCCTCCTTCTCCTCCTCTCTCTCTCTGCCTACTTGTGATCTGTCTGTCAAATAAATAAAAATTAAAAAAAAAAAACAACTGAATGAGGCTAGCGGGTTTATAATTTAGCAACACACTGCTATCCTTCACATTTTCCACTCAGCCTGAAAACCTGGAAATCCAGCATTTCTTTCCCTGTGTACCCTTAGCCCTTTAGAAAGAGAATGTTCTGTAGGATAGTGCCATCAACGATCTCACCTGGATGAAATAATGTGCCCTTTTCCAGACTGGTAGCAGAGAAAGTGGTTTAGCGAGGAGCTGTAGCTCTGGACCTTAAGCATCTGAGGAGGGGTGCTTTGGGAGGGGTGTTTAAACACGGAGACCAGCTCTGCACAGTCTAGCCGGTCTGGTGGCCATCCCACTCCTCATTTAGGCTGTCCTCCAATGTCACAGAACTTGGATTAACACATAAAAGTAACTAGATTTCATTCTCGTTTATGATGTGGTAAAACCTGTTCTTCTGGAACCAGAATATTACCTTGATGGGTTTATAATGTGAACCAAGATTGCAAAAGTTCTCAAACTCTCAGGCTTTCGACATGAAGGGAGAAGGTGATAATTTCAGGTGAAAAAGGCTGCTTGTTAAATGCAAACACTAGAACCCCAGGGACACTGAAGCAAGGGAAGAACAGGCACTTTAAACTGAAAGACTGCTCAACCTTCAGCCTTCACTTTAGGGAGTGGCCGGCTTACATCTGGACCACTTTCTCCTCTGTTGGTCTCTTCTAGCTGTTCAATTATTTGGTGTGTCCCTTGGTTAATTTCTGTCTTTACCCACTGTTCTGAGTGATTTCATGTTCTTTTTTTCTTTTCTTTTCTTTTCTTTTTTTTTGTGCTGCCATATCAAGTTGCCACAATGTAGCTTAAAGTAGCACATTTAACTTCTAGTTCTACAGTCAGAACTCTGACATGAGTCCCACTGAGCTCAAATCAGTTTATCAGCAGGCCTGCATTCCTTTCTGGAGATTCTGGAGGAGAATCTGTTTCCTTGCCTTTTCTGTCTTCTCGAGGCTGCCCATATTCCCAGACTTGTGGCCCCTTCTCCTGCCTTCAAGACCAGCAAAGTCTCTGACCCTTCTTCCGTGGTCACATTTCTTTCTGACTGCAGCCAGGGAAGGTTCTCTGCTTTTAAGGACTCACGTGATTATACTGGGGCCAAATACTCTCCCCATCTCAAGATCTTTAGCTTTAATTAAATCTGTGAAGTCCCTTTTGCTATTAAGATAACATACAAGTGTCAGGGATCAGGACGTGGATGTCATTGGAGGGCTGTTATTCACCCTTGCAGAGATCTCAACGTCATGGCTCCTACTATCATCATGGGGTGAGGACCTCTGAAGAACCTGCAAACGTGGAAAATGTGAGTCATTAGTAATAGCAGAGGGAATAGTCCAAAAAACCCCTGTATCCCCATTACCCACACCCTGGCCCTATCAGCCTAGGATCCCTAGGAACAAACCTGTAGTTCGACAAAATCCGATTTACTAATTTATTGCAATGAGGGAGGCCACACGGGAGGAACTAGGGGTATCTGACCAAACAGGAAAAGAGAGAATTATAGGATTTGGGGGAAGGATAAAGTTTAGGTCAAAATGTAAATGAAGCAGTGCTTTGACAGGCTCAAAGCAAAGCAGGTCTATGTATACAGGAGCCAACACATGGTCTGAACTGCACAGTAGACCTGGGTTCATTTCCTGCAAAAATACAAAGTTAAGGTAAATGTGGACTGTTGGGTTCAGAAGCCCCTTATCAGAAGCTCTGAACCTGAGGTGCAAACCGAGAGCGCTGCTCAAAGTGACTTAGATCCATCCTCCTGGCAACAGAAGAGGGTTTCGTTTTTACTGATAAAATTTCAAACAGTGAAATTTCTTATGGTCCATCGTTTTAGAGAACAAGGTTTCTCAGTGAGTCAGAAAGCAGCAGTTCCGCAAAGAAGGGGATGGTTATGACGCCTTAGCTGCCCTTGGGAGGAATATTGTTCCACAGTAACTTTGTAGCCCTCCAGCTTTGGTTTTCTTAGTCTGAGCTAATTTTTACTTTCTCATCCACTTTGGTTATCTATTCAGAGCAAATCTGGTGTCACTTAGGACCAAATCACCACCCTCTGATTGTTTTGAAGCAAATCCCAGACAGGAGGATGACTTTGAAAGCTGCTCGCAGGTGACCACAGGAGGAGTCCTCCCCGTCCT